ATGGTGGATTTGAGAAAGAACAATCACACAAAGTAGAAAAACAGCGGGGATCGGGCAGAGGGGACATCTGTGATGGAGAATGCTGCGGCCCTGAGCCTTTCCCGGGTTTATTCTTTTATAGGGCAATGATGGAGGAAGAGGCAGATGGTAAAGCTAGGTGTCTCCTGTTACCAACTACAGCTATGGAGCATCTTGTTTGGCTTGGTCTAAATAATCCCCACCTGGTCTTCTCTGGCTGAAACATGCAAGAGCGTCTGTAGTCTGCCTGTCTTTAAAGGCCACTACTACTTAGCTCAGATTCGGTCGCCCCATACAATACATCTTTTATTTAATAGTAAATTTACGTTTAATTGTTGTACAGCTTTGTGGGGTACAATATGATTTTTCAAAACATTCCTGCAGTGGGCAATAATCAAATCTAGGATATCACCATATTCTTCATCTTCAGCAAAGACCAATCCATTATTTTGTGCACCTTCAATTTTTGTTCTACTACTCTGTTCTCATGAATATATATAGGAATTTATTGATTAAGCTGCAAATCATATCTGAAATATGAAGAAGAATTTTGAGTTTATTTCTGGACTGGGTAAGCCAGCTTTGTATTACCTGATGGGTAGAACCACTCAGCACATCTCTGGGCTATGCCCGTTTACAATCTCTTCCTATCCCTCCACACCTGCACCAATGTGTTTGTCTTTACACAAGATGCAGGACAAGTATTCTGAAGAAGATGAAGCTTTCTGGTTTTGAGTTGAGGTCAGCATGTTTTATTCATGCTGCTGATTCTCTCTTTGTGAATTCAACTTTCCTGAGAAACTAAATAAAAGAAATAGAAACATTAAAAATGTTATATATGGGACCAGCGGTTAGCATAATGGCTATATCGCTGGACTCCCACGTAGTCGACCGCAGGTCGAGGTCCGGACCCAGTGGCTTAAAACTCATGCCAGGTGTGTGTGCTTGCGTGCCCAAGATACTGAGAGGAGAATGGAGAAGGGATTGTGGTGTGACCATCCCCCCTGGGGGATGATCTCTCACTTTCTGTCTGTCTGTCTGGTGAGCCAAAGCACTCTATAGCAAAAAATTCTCCAAAAAAAATGTTATGTATAAAATTAACAAGGTCCTTTTTTACTCTGCAGTGTCGATTTTTCATGGCTAATCTGCCTTGTGCACATGCATTTTTGTGTCTGTTCATTCTTTTGGGTGCCTGTCTCACCCCGCCCCCACCCCTGTCCCTGCCATTGTGCAGTGTCTGTACCAGAGCTGTTGTTTGCACTTCCTGCTTCTATGTCTTTGAGTCTTTCAGCTTCTGCCACATAGCACAGACACTTGACAAATAACCGGGGATACGCCATTTTTATCTTTAATATTCTGGTTTATTTCACTTAGCATTAAATCTTCTTGATTCAAGACTGGCCGGTGGATGGTGGTTAAAGGCACTGGATTCCCACATGGCCGACTGTGGTTCAAGTCCTGATCTGGCAGCTTGCTTTCTCACTTTCTCTCTCTCTCTCTCTCCCACTGGTCAAATTAAAAATAATAATAACAATAGCAAATGGAATTAAATTTTTTTTAAAAAGAGAAAAATAAATTTAGATTCATCCACTATGTATTTACTTTGTGTCTTTGGAATAATTACGCATACCTAGAATCATTCTATGTGTGTGTGCACACTCGACAGAGGTGTCTAATGTGTATGTACATACGTATTTCTATATGTTTTCTTTTTCTCCTTATTTAAAAAAATTGCCAGAAGATGCATGCACTTGCCAGAGAAAGACAAATAAGAGTGAGAAAGGAAGTGGGAGAAAGCTCCCTCAATGGGATGTAGTTATGAGGCAATCCCTTACACCTCCACTTCTTGTTCCTGTCAAGATTTCGGATGAGCACACATATGTGCCTGGTGTGTTTTTCAAGCCTCCAGGGTCGAGATTAAAATTGTGCAGTTGGCAACGTGGGATCAACTCCCTTAACCACTAGGCCATGGGGCTTGTATTTTAAACCACCACCCAAACTCAGGGGATGGGGGAGACTCCAGCTTTCAGTGTTGCCTTAGATCTGCCAAGGCACATTGAGCAAGACCACAGAATTGACGTGGCTCTTGTGTGTGCATCAGCCAACTTGTCAGAGCTGCCCTTGGGCAGAAGAATGCAACCTGGATTCATGGCGTGTCCTTGGTGAGCTGGTGCAATCAGCCTGGGCCAGGCTGGACATGCCTCCGGCTGCCTGTCCCAGCCTCTGGGCGCAACTCCCCCTCCCAGATCTATTCTAATCTGTTCTCGGGGATTTCTGGGTCTGTGTCTATAAGCCAGCTTCTCATGCCCCTACTCATCCACCCATGAGAAGGCTGAGGATATGGGTCAGGCCATAGTCAGGCCCTTCTGTCCAGCAAGAACTATGGGGCAAAACTAAGGCCTATAGGGGCCACTCCAAACACCTCTGGACCTGAATCTGCTCTGAACTTTGAGGATTCCCAGATGCCCTGGCCTCAGAATTGTGAAGCAGCCCCCAGGAGCCACTTCCTGCAGCATCTCGGTCACTAACAAGATGAGTGGTTCCTAATAGCCCTGCTCCCTGAGCCTTCACCATGCAGCCTGAGGCCTACCCAATTCCCAGAGGGAAGAAAGGGCAGACAGGGGTGCCCTGAGCCCATTCTTTCCTATAGGAGAGGGTCTGGTGTTACCTGGAGAATCAAGTATGCCACATCACACGGAGGGCTGGTTACACTCTCCTAGTTGTGAGAGATGTGCCTAGGGTCCACTGTGGAGGAAGAAGAGGCCATTATCTGAGGAGAATGGGACCCATGTTTTGGGAGCTCCTGAGAAGGTGAGGCCAGTCCTTTTTCCTGGAATAGAGCTCGCCCCCTCCTCTAGGTCTGTGGATACTGGCCCCTTCACATTCCGTCTCCAGTCTCTTCCCACCTGAGTCCAGTGACTACACCTGAGAGGTTCTCTGATTCCTCTAGGCTCTAGGAAGCAACCCAGTTGTCAACTCCTGACCCAGCCATCTGCATTCAGGTGGGCCAAGGCTATGTTGAAGCCTCCTGGGGCCTGGCAGCCTATGCTCTTTGTTGCCCTCTGGATGCTGCTCTGCCAAGTGCAGCCTAGGTCTATACCATAGCAAGTCGAAATGTCAATTGGCAGAACCACTTAAGGAGTCCTTCATCTGTAGTATCAGACATTAAGATACCTTTGATGTAGTATCCGTTCCAGCCTCCATGTATAGGAACTGTTTCAGGATCTGTGGCCTTAGAATTATAAGAAGCTGATGAAAGAAGTCAAAGAAGAAAATATCTGGAGAGACAGATTATGTTCATTCATTTGACGATGCAACATAATAAAAACGCCAATTCTCTCTCTAAAAAAAAAAAATCTTTATACTTGGTGCAATGCCTACCAAATTCCTAGCAAAAATTTTTAGATTTAGACAAGCTTTAATCTAAAATTCATATGAAAATGAAAAGCCGTTAGCACTGCCAAAACAATTTGTAAAAGAAGAATAAGGTGAGAGAAATTATAATTCTGTATGTAAAGGTTCTACAGAGCCACAACAATTGAGACAGTGAGGTATGGGTTGATAAACATAAATAAGAAATAGAATACAGAACCCAGAGATTAACCAACACACATAGGTTCAATGAACTTTTTATACAGGTGCAAAAGCAATTTAACAGGGGAATGAAGGATGCAATTAGATCATCATAATCAAAATTAAAAATAAAGGAAATAAAACTTAAAAACCACATCTGAAACCTCAAACTATACAAAACATAGCTCAAAATGCATCATGCAAGGGAATGTTAACCATAAACCACCAACTAGATTCTCAGAGGAAAAAAATACAGTCCTAAATCTTAGACAAGACTAGGACATTTTGGCCATGACACCAGAAGTATGATCCACCAAGAAAAGGTAGCAAACTGAACGTTATGAAAATCCAAATCTTTTCCCTGTTTATAAAAAACAGAAACTGGGACTGTTACAGTCTACTCAGCAAGAAATCAAAGGACATCCAGACACAGCCGAATTTACTGGAGTTTATTGATTAGGCCAGCTGCATACCGGGAGACTCATGTCTCTCCAAACCCCGCAGCCCCGAGTGAAAGGAGTGCATATAGGCCAAAAATGCACAGATGTTTTAAAAGGGCAAAGGAACAAAGTGAGGGGCTTCAGGAGAGATGGGGGAGGGTTTGCTATCTTCAAAGCAAAGCCAGTTACAGAAGCAAAGCAAGCACGTTAGTTTTCAGGGTAAATTCTGATTACAATGAAATTTTAACGGCTTCCCTGGTTCCGGTCCAGGTTCTTGACGCACCTGGGAGTGGGGCTTCTTCAGATCTTATCCACACTCCTGGGGAGGACAAGAAGGAGGCATAGCTTCTAAAATAAAATCACCCTTTCAAAATGGAGTCACACCTGCTTCATTCCCCACTTCTTCCCACTCCTCCAAGATGGGGTCATGCCTGCTTCAGGACTAGCAAAAAGCATAATGGTTGGGTGAACAAACTCCCAGGTAGTCTAATGCAATTTGAGTGCGGACCTGGCGCCTTAAAACTCACCACCAGGTCACTGTGCCTGCATGCCCAAGATCCTGACCGGAAGGTCTACATCTGTCAGAACACACATTCATACCCACCCCCGCACGCAGGGACACCCACAGACACACACAGCGCTAGGCCAAGAAAGGAGCCCATGGAGGGGGCCTGCCTGTCCCCGCCACCACTCTCCAACTCAGCCTGGCCAGACCAGCCTCCCAGTGTGCACGCGGCCGGGCGTCTGAAGGCGCGAGCTCTCTTCCGACAGCGCGGGAGCCCAGGGCCTCACCAGACCCGCGCGCACGCTGACCGCGGTCTGCAGGAGCGCCCGTCACCCAGGGCGGGGACAGGGTGGCCCCCGGCAGCCCTGGGCGGCAGCAGCTGGCCGGGGACACAGCGTCGAGCACCCCACGCAGGCCGCCAGCCGGGAGGCCGCGCCTGCCGACCCGACACGGGGCGCCCGCACCCGGAGGACACGCTGGACTCCAAGGCGCCGCGGGGTCCGCTCTCCAGCACCGCAGGGACTGTCCCGCCGCCGGGACGAGGGCCCTGGGGGCCGCCAGGCTCCGGGTCGCGGGGATCTGGGTGGCGGGCTCCGAATCACAGGGTCCGGGCGGTTGGGGGGCGTCAGGGCACTCGCCCCACACTGGCCCGCTGGGACTGCGTGGTATGGGCTGTGCGACGCCCCGAGGTGTGGACCGCGCCGCGGCAGGGACTCGGCTCCGGTCAGTGCTGGCGCGGCAACTGCGGCGGCCGGGGTGGCCAGGCCCCTGCCCTGGGGTTCCGGGGTCCCGGGGTCCCGGGGGCCACCTCTCCTGAAAGGCGGGCGGGCGGGAGTCAGCTCCGGCCCTGGCGTGGCCCCACTGGTCGCGGTCGCCTTGTCACCCTGTGCCCCGCCTGCCTTCCGCCTGGCCAGAGGGCTGGGGGCCGCGGTCACGGGCAAGTGTGCTCCCCGTTCCGGGCGCGGCGCTTTCGGGGTCACCCGGTGAGGGAGCACCGGCCGGGCCGCTTCGCCTTCCGCCCTCCGGAAGGTCCTCGGGGCGGGGCGGCCCTCGGCCCTCGGCCCCTGCGCCGCCTGTGCCCTGAGGTCCGCCCTGCGTGCGCGTCCTGCTTCCCTCCGTGGCTGAGCTGTGCCCCTTTTCCCTGATGAGCGAAGCAGGTGGCCCAGTGTGGGAGCGTGCGGGGGCCAAAGCTGGGGCCCTGATGCAGAGGACCTGCCCTTGCCAGCATGTGTCGTGCCTCTTGCCTTAGATTCCAGCTCCTGCAGGTGACAATGCTTCCCTTGGCCTTGGTTCTCTCCGTGGTGCTCCCGCCCATGGATAGCAACGTCACCAATGTCACCACTGCTGGCCAAAGTCACTGTAAGTGCCATTCTACTGCCTGGAGGTGATGGGAGGTCACCTGGGGAGACCCCGTCACAGGACAGGTGGCCCTTGCACTCTCTTACCCACTGCAGGTCTTCGTCGTCAGTGTGTTGGGGGTAGTGGCACGAATTAAATTGGGGACTTGCATGAGTAAAGCCAGGGTCATCGGGGTGGGGACTGTCCTAGAAAAGCAGTCAACCCTGAGACATGATGGGGAAGTTTGGGGTACCACATTCTTATCAGGGACAGGCAGGAGTGCTTAGTGTGGGGAGGGACTGGAGTACACCAGCCTTGAGGGTGTGATCATCCTTGAGGAGATGGTTCTGCCTCCAGAGCTCGGCACCCCACACAGCCACTGAAGGCCTTGCTCAGAGCCATCCCTCCAGCCCCTGCTCTCCCCTGTGTCCAAGATCACATCTGTAGCTTCATACGTCATGTCCCCAGCTTTGTGCAAAGACATCCTCTGTTCGCCATTCTTCAGTGTCCCACCTGCTGTACCTCTGAGAGACCCACTCATTTGGGAGCTAGCTGGGTGGCTAAGAATCCCGGCTCAGCCATATAGGCACAGAGGAGTCCTTGGAGGCAGCCAAGGTGCAGCTGGAGGAGGGTTCACAGCGGGTGGGGGAGCAGCAGGCAAAGGCAGCGTGTCTGCGCAGAAGCCGGCATCCAGCAGCCACTCTTCCTCCATAGGGACCTACAGTTTGGTATGCCATGACTGTGCAGCTATAAACGACTTCAACTGTGGAAACCAAAGGGTGTGCCCTTACGAAATCCGGCGCTGTCTGACCATCGCCATCCGTAAGTAGCTCACGTTCGCACGCTGTGGGTTGGTCACCCGACCCGAGCAGTTTTGGGGAAAGCCAGTCATTTTTCTCCCTGCCCCAGCCCTGACTCCCTCCCCTGATACCTCCCTGTCCTGAGAGTGTGTGCACGGGCTCCAGGCGCCACTTCTGACAGGGTAGGGTGCACTCACAGAGCCAGCTATTCTGCAAGGTAGTGTCACGAGCCACCATGTCACCAGGGGCTAGAGCAGTGCCAGATCTCAAGGTTTCCACCCCTGTCAGTCCCTGGTCATGTGTATAGACACTCCTGTGTTGTCTGAGCAAATCCTCATCACCCTCTTCATGTCTGGTCATCAGAGGAGGCTGCCTGGTTAGAGGGGTGCAAGCAGGGGGTGTACTCTGGACCTCTTAGGACTGTGCTTACCACACACAGATGGCAAAGCTAAGGGCTAGGTCGGGGCAGAGCCTGACCTTCCAAGACGCACTCGCTTCAGACTCAGAGGCCTTCAGTGCTATGAGAGGTGTCCCTAACCCAAGGCCCTAACCTGAAGAAGAGGGAACGCCAGAGGCCCACTGACCACTCAAGAAAACAGGGTGGGTTCAGGCTACACAGGTCCAGGCAGACAGGCTCTGGCCTTCTTGGGAACCCAAGGCCACGTTCTGAGCCATTCCTCCAGCCCTTGCTCTCCCCTGTGTCGGGGGTTTATGTCAACAGCTTCACACGTCATGTCCCCAGCTTTGTGCAAAGACAGCCTCTGTTCACCTTTCTTCAGAGTCCCACCTGCCGTTCCTCTGAGAGCACTTGCTGATTTGGGAACTAGCTGGGTGGCTGAAAATCCTGGCTCAGTTCCCACAGTGGGCCTCTGCTGAGAGACCTTGATGGGTCGAGTGCTGTCTTTCTGGGATTACTGCTCCTGAGGGAGGCTGGGAAAGAATGTTTTTTCCATGAATCTCCACCCCCTGTGGCTCTGAGTTACAGATGGCAGAGAGAATTCAAGCGAGATTTACAGGGTTGAGATGATGCAGAGACCAGGCTAGATCTTCTCCTTGTTTTACACAGAGATAGACACCAGTAAACTGTCTTTCCTTACTGTTATCCTACTTCATACTCATCATATCACCTTTGCTGCTAGATTTTTAGAGAGCAATTTCTGAGATCCCAACAGGTTCTTGGCCCCAGGCTGCACAGGTAACAAGTGTTCTAATGGAGTAGTGTAAACATCTCAGCAAGAAGGACCAACAGATGGCATAATGGTTTTCTTGCTGGATTCTCACATGGTCAACGGCAGTTCAATTCTTGGACCCAGCTCCTTAAAACTCAACTCTAGGCATGTGTGCATATGCGCCCTAAATCCCAAGAGGAAAATGGAGGAGAAGTGATTGTTCTGTGGACATCCCCCCTATGGGGGTGGTTTTTCACTTTATATTTCTCTCTGGCAAGCATTTGCATCCTATAGGAAAAATCTCTCAGGGAAAAAAAAATCTCAGCACAAGACCTTTGGATGATCTAGCTGAGAGGTGCGTGCCTTCTGCCATTTTCTTGAAATGGTTGGCTTTTCTGCCTGACCTGAGCTCTATGCAGACCTTCCTCCAGACTATCCCCATAAAGCTCATCTCCTTGGATTTGGTTCCTTCTCTTGGATTTGCTCCTCCCATGGATGGTGCTGTAGCACCTAAGTTGCCATGCAAACTGCTTCAGGGTCTCTGTCTTTCTGACCGAACTCCCTGGATACTGAGACAGAAAATCTATAAGAGCCTTTGCCCAAACTGTGGAATGTCGGGATTATTGAATAGAATCCTCACTTGACTTTGGGACCATGCAGGGTGGTAGCAAAAGGCCTCTGTGAAGACATTTCAATGTCAGAGGCTGAGCTTCCACCCACACCCAGTGTTGGTGAGATGTTCGTCAGAGGGACAGACACAGACATATGGAACATAGCAGAGAACTCAGGATCAGCCCCACACAAACATGCTCAGCTGATTTTTGGAAAAGGTGCAAAACCATCAATAGAGGAATGGTAGTCTCTTCAACAGCCATAGGCAAAAATGAACCTTGAGCCTCAGACCTTATCCAGAAAGAACTGAATTACGTCATGGCCTTAAATGTAAAGTGGCAGATGCTCAAAGTTTTTGGATAAAATCACATAAGAGAAAGTCTTCAGAATCTAGGGCCAGGCAGGGTGTTAGACTTGACTCCGAAGAATGACCCTTGAAAAGTGAACTTGGTAACCTTAAACCTCACCAGTTCACAGTCTTCCTTACTGTGATTGGTTCTGTGAAGAGGAGGAGAAGGTAGGCTTCTGACTGGGAGGAAAAGCCTGTGAACCACATGTCCAGCCGCACAGTAATTCCTTGAACAAATAAAGCACTCCACCCATTCAACAATGAAAATCCAACCAGTATAGTTTTTTAAAAGTCAAAGGATGTAAAGACACATTTCATCAAAGTGAATTCACAGACAGTAAGTACATGTGCACATTCTCCACATCTTTACCTGTGAGGAAAGAGCAAGTACAAACCACAGGTATCAATAATCACAGTAACCACAGTTACTGTGGTACAAAGAAACCAGAGCCACCTTAAATTTCTGGTGAGAATGCAAACCAATACAGTCAATACGGAACGCTGTGTGGAAATTTCTTTAAAAACAAAAAACATAACTATAATACATGCTGAAAATGGCAGGCCTGGGCATTTTCCCCCAGAGAACCACAAGCTTTTATATTCACCCAAAGATGTGTACATGGATGTTCATAGAAGCCTCATTTAAACACCTCTAAACTGTGAACATTTCAGCATCCTTTAGTGGGTAAAGGGTTAAACAGACCTCGTATGCTCATACCACAGGCTACTACTGCTTAGCACTGAGAGGGAGCAAACCACTTCCCTCTCTTTGCTTCCCTCTTTCAACTCCTCCCATGGTGGATGCCATAGCACCTAAATAGTCAGGCAAACTGCTTCAGGGTCTCTGTCATCCCGACTGATCCCCTGGACACTGGGACAGAGATTCTATAAGAGCTTTTGCCTCACTGTGGGAGCGCCGAAATTATTGAGCATTTTCCTGTCAAAATAATCATTGTGTATCAGGACCATGCAGGATGGTAGCAAACAGCAGCCAGAATGAATCTTTAGGGGTTGATGCTGAGTGAGAAAAGGCAGTCCCTAAAGGTTGCACACCATATGGTCCCATTAATGTAACATAGAGAAGAGAAACTTACAGAAATGGACACCAAATGAGTTTTGCAGAAGATCAAGGACAGGATAGTGGGTGGAAAGGAGACAAATGTGTCTATGTGAGGACACTATGAGGCTTATGAGCTTTATGGGGATAGTCTAGTATCAGAGTTCTAGCAGCAATACTGTGTTACAGTCTTGCAGGATATTGCCACTGGGAGTAACTGAGTGCAGGGCACACAGGGTCTCTATTATTCCGTACAACTCTATTCAAATAAACAATTAAGTTAAAATAAAACTTTTAATAAAAAGGCTTGAATTAGCAGCCTAGGACTTTCAATGTAGAATAAAGGAAAAGTAATATATTTTGTCTACCAGAGATATGCTTAGAATCAGAACATACCAAGTTTAAAATATTTTGATTGGGACCAGCAGTTAGCATAATGGCTATGTCGCTGGACTCCCACGTAGTCGACCACGTTTCGAGTCCCGAACACCACCGGCTTAAACTCACGCCAGGTGTGTGTGTGTGTGCGTGCCCAAGATCCCAGGAGGAGAAGGGATTGCGGCGTGGCCATCCCCCCTGGGGGGTGATTTCTCACTTTCTGTCTCTCTGTCTTTTTGGCGAGTGCACATGCCCTATAGCAAAAACCTCTCCAAAAATAAATAAATAAATAAATGAAATAGTAAAATATTTTGATCAACTGAACTGGGGAGAAATATTCACATACTGAAATACACTTTGTAAGCTAAACAATGTGATTGAATGTATAAAACAAAATTTTAAAAATAAAATAAAATATAGAATATGGAATTCTTAAGCATTGCCCAAGAAAATTCATTTTGTTAATTCCCAGAGGGCACCCCCATGGGCCAGAGTGACAGACGGATGGACAGAGGGAGAAACCACCCCCAGTGAAATGTAATCACACGTAATTGCTTCTCCATTTCTCTATCCTGTTCAGGATTTTTGGCCCATATACACACATGTCTAGCATGCTTTTTTGTTTTGTTTTGTTTTTAATTTGGTACAGGGTACATGCACTCATTGGGAAGGGATATATATAGAGAGAGAGCAGAGAGAATAAGATTGCACCCCTTCCTTGGGGGGGGGGGGATTGCCATTCTACAATACCTTCTCCTTCATCCTCTTCTCAGGATTTTTGGTACACACCCACATACACCCAGCGTTGTTTTCAAGTCACTAGTTCTGGCACTTGAACCACATAGCCACATGAGGTCTAGCTGCCTAAACCACTGTACCTCCAGAGTTGCCCCCCTGCATGTTTTTTAAACCACCAGGTCAGGATTCAAACTGTGCCTGGCCATGTGGGATCTGGCTCTCTCAACACTGGACTATGCAGATGCCCCCAAGCCCCAAAGAAAATTCTTAGGTACACATTCAGGCAAAGTAAACACTGCAGAAAAGCATTACTTATACAAAGTGCAGTGTTTTATGGAGATGAAAGAATAAAACTATCCAGAAAATAGTTACATTGTAAATCTATATGCACCAAATAACAAGATGAAAATATATATAGAACACAACTTGATGGAACTTAAGAATGTAGGCATGTCCACATTTACATAGTTGTCATCAATGCACTTCTCTTCATAGCTTCTAGATGCCGTAACAAGGAGACAAGACATATTACAACTATAGTCCAGAGATAGCAAACCTTTCCATAAAGGACCAGGTAGTCAGTGGTTTCAGCTTGGTAGGCCATTTAGACTCTGTCGAAACTACCCAGCTCTGCCTTGTAAGGACAAAAGCAGCTATAGACAATGGTAAACACTTATCTTTTATTTACTGTTTTTTATTCTTATTGTTACTTTTGTTTT